ACCAGGGCCCCAGGGATCCTATGCCTGGGTCCCGGCTCTTCCACCTTCAAGCTGAGTGATGTCTGGCAAATTTCTTGGCCTCCTTGATTCCCTACTTCCTCTTCTATGAAATGGGTGTATAACTCCGGTATCAGTCTGTTTTCACACTACTATAAAGAAATATCTGAGACTGGGTAATTTATAATGGAAAGAGGTTTAATTGACTCACAGTGACACATGGTTGAGGGGCCTCAGGAAACTTACCATCATGGCAGAAGGTGAGGGGGAAGAAGCACCTTCTTCACAAAGCGGCAGGAGAGAGAAGAGAGCAGGGGAAACCACCATTTACAAAACCATCAGCTCTCATGAGAACTCACTCACTATCCCAGAATATCATGGAGGAAACTGTTCTCATGATCCAATCACCTCCCTCTGGGTTCTTGTAATTATAACTGTGGGGATTACAGTTCGAGATGAGATTTGAGTGGGTCCACAGAGCCAAACCATATCAACTCCCTACCTCATAGTGCTACTGTGAAGATCAAAATAAAATGGTATATGGAGCATGTATTTAAAAGGGAAGTAAAATGTGGTCCAGTTCTTTCTCACCACATCAGTTCACCTCCTGATGCAATCAACTGTCTTTAAGTTCCTGGCACCAGCTCTGACCCAGCAGTTCTCATCCATGCTGGTACAACGGGCAGAGGTAGCCAGCAGACAGATGTTCTGGGAAATGACTAGAATGCAGTGGCTCCCAGATAAAGGCAATTTGTGCAGAGGTGAAATTCTATGAGGTGCAACGATTTGTGGATAGACAGTTTGACTCTGGCTAAGACTCAGAGAGATTTATTGTGATTATCCAAGAGGCTGGGGAAAGGGCCCCTCTAGCTCAGGGCTTTGAAGCAGAACACTTCAAGCAAAGAAAGCACCTTCTTATTGACCCTCTCCTTCTCAGGCTGGGGACTGTGGTGATAGCAGAGGTTCAGGGGTCCTTCCCTAACACTGAGGCCTGAGGGCCGGAGAGCCAGTATTCCTACCCTGGCCATAAGAATGATCACCAGGCATACATGGGACTGGCAGTAGGCCATAGAAAAACAGACATAAACTCATCACTCAGCTGAGACTCAGCTCTGAAACTTACAGCTTGTGTAACTTTGGAGGCGTCTTTTGACTTTTCTATGCATTGGTTTCCTCTACATAAACTACCAGATAGAATAAGCTATTGCATGTGGAAGCTCTGTCTAAAAGAAGTGTTTTTACAAATGCCTGCTATTATTATGATGAAGTTATTGTGTATCAGTATTGGGCCACTGCACTGGAAGGTGTCATCGAAGGAGTATGAAACCACGAGGACATACAGCATGATTAGGAAGAGAATAAGTCACCGAGCGCAGCATCTCTTTGCAACTATTCTCACATATTAGGGCCTTCTTAGAGAAGGAAGAAGGTTTCCTGTTTTTGAGAGGGGAGCAGGAAGTGGCAAGTGTCATTGAAATTTGTAGGATCCTGGGACCCAAAGAGCTAAGTCCCTTGGGCAATGTCAGCAATAACTGTGAGGAGCCCAGAAAAGAGTCGCAGATTCTGCAGTGGCCAAGGTGGCCTATTTTGCAGCCAGCTCTACCCAGTGTCTGCTTATAGCCACCAATTCCAGAGCACCTGGGCTGTGCCAGGCACCATGGTAGATCTTTGGCAGCTGTGATCTTCAACATTCAAGGGCTACTGGAAAAGTGAATGTTACCATCCACATACTTTCCAGGTGATAGATGAAGGCTCAGAAAGAGAAAATGACATGCCTGAGACACGGGACAGCCAGGGCTCAAACCCGAGTCTCCCAGGCCCCCAATCCCCTGCTCTGTGTAGTCTACCTGTGCAGAGGGGACTGAGGACCATTTAAAAGTAATCGCGATGTAAGTTGTTAGGAAAAGGATCACAAAACAAAAAATGCCAGGCAGAGAGAAGTTGTCATTACAATGACAATAGAAATAATCTCTCACATAAACCCAAAATTGGTAGTTTACAAATGGCATTCACCCTTATTATCTCACCCACCCTGTGAATAGGTTTTATTACTCCTTTCAACGGTGGAGGAAGCTTGGGCTCAAAGAGGCCATTTTCTTGCCGAGGCCCCGTAACTGTTTAGTGGTGACGCCAGGACTGAAGCCTCCGTCTGCAGATTTCACAGTCTGCTGTCCCTTTGCGTCTTGTGTGGGTTTTCTCATGGCCTCGTTGCTGGTCTTACTGAAGCTGTCTTGTTTTTCAATCACCACACTTCCTCCGTGGTGGCCACAGAGAAGCCAGGAGGCCCAGGGTTAATAGGGGCCCCCCTCCTCTTTCTTCCTCCAGTGATGTCTGGCCGATTTTCTCCCCATTGGGGCTTAATATTTCTCCTCACGGTGGGATGAAAGGTTCAACAGCCTGTTTCTCAGGAGGCCCTTCTGGAAAACTGGCTGTATTTAGTTCTCTATTGCTGCCTTCAGAACTTACCACAGACTCAGTGGCTTAAAACAACACAAATTACTATCTGACAGCGTCTGGAGTTCAGAAATCCAGGATGGGTCTTAGTGGACTAAAACCAAACGGTGCGTGGGCTGCGTTCCTTCTGAAAGTCCTGGGGAGAATACGTCTCTTGACCATTCAGGTTTGTGGCAGGATTCAGTTCCTTGAGGTAGAGGACGCAGATCCCCATTTTCCTGCTGGCTACAAACTGAGGACCACCCCCAGTCACTAGAGGCTGTCCATCAGAACCGCCCTTCTCCATCCTCAGAGTGGCCGAGCCCTTCTTATGCTGCATTTCTTTGGAACGCTCCCCTGCTTAGAGCACTCGTGTGATTAAATCAAGCTTACCAGGATAAGCTCCCATCTCAAGGTCTTGAACCTTAATCACACCTGCAAAGTTCCTTTGCCATGGAAGGTAACATATTCACAGGTTTCAGGGTTTAGGACTTGGACATTTTGACGGGGCATAACTGCTACCACAATAGCCTGATCTACTGTTTCCTCCAGAGGAAGCTGCATTCCAAGTGTTCTAGTGAACAGAAATAAACTTTCAAGGCCAGAGCGCTCTGTTGAAACCCCAGCTCAGTCACTGACTAGTGTGCAATCTTGGACAAGCTGTCTAATGTCTCCGGGTCTCAGTGTCCTCCTCTGTAAAATGGTGACACAATTATGCTTACCCTGAACGAGGTTTAGCAATAAAATATTTTTAATCTCTCTGACCTAGTTTCTGGCTCATACACTCATTTCCTTTTTGATTAACTGACAGAGACATCTGAAAGCTTAAGAGTGGGAGTCTTTAACTTGTGGGAGCCTGGGGAGGTCCCATTGTTGGGTTTTGGAGATCCACAAGTTCCCTAAAATTACACATAAAATGCTGTGAAGTGTATGGGTGCATCTTTCTTGAGAAATGTTTCATATTCTCCATCACATTCTCAAGAAAGTCATGAGCTGATATTCAATAATCAGCTGGGCGTGATGGCTTTATGGCTATAATCCCAGGACTTTGGGAGGCCAAGGCAGGTGGATTGATTGAGCTCAGTAGTTCAAGACCAGCCTGGGGAACATGACAACATCCCATCTTTACAAAAAATACAAAAATTAGCTGGACATGCTGCCGTGTGCTTATAGTCCCAGCTGCTTGGGGGTCTGAGGCAGGAGGATCACTTGAGCCCAGGAGGTCGAGGCTGCAGTGAGCCACGATTGATTGATCGTACCACTGCACTCCAGCCTGGGTGACAAAGTGATACTCTGTTTCAAAAAAAGAAAAACGTTTAATAATCGACTCTCTGGGGGAAAGGAAATCTTATGTGTGATATTCGCCAATTTTTACAGTGTAAACACTCCCACCTTAGCCAATTCCAAAATGATGTCATTGAGCATGACGCTGGGAAGCAATGTGTACCACTGGCTCTCATGAACTTGCATGAGCCGGCTCCGGGCCACCACTGCCTGCGACCTTAGAAAGGCCACAGAGCACTGCTTTGGGGGGAAGGTCTGGCATTCCAGCCCATCCCATCTGTTTAATTTGAGAGCCTGTTGTGTATGAGGATTTCTGCTTTGTTTTTCCTTAGCAGAGCTGATCTTTATCAGGATGCAGGAGTTATTTTGAGCGGTTTAAGGGACATCTGGAGGAGGCACAAACAGTGGAGCCTCTGAAGAGGGAATCTGGGATCCGAGGATCAAGTCCTTGGTGAATCTGGGCACTGGTTGGGGATTCTGGGACCCTCTGGAGGAAGAAAAGGGGATTTGGATTCAGCAGCAGCAGAGGAAAACCCGGAAGAACATGCCAGGGTCTGACAAGGTAAAAGGAGAGACTCAACTGAGTGTCCCTGGTGCTCGCAGCCTAGGGGTAGGCAGTTCATGTGTGCTGATGTGGCTTCTTTGCTCTGTGCTGTGTCTGATCACTGATAAATCATAGGCCCAAACCCGTGGCAGCTGTGTCAGTATATGGTCAGCCTGGAGGCATTTAGCTGTCACTTGTCTTCTGCTGTTTTTGGTAAGCACATTGCAGTGGAACTTGCCCCTTGTCTGACAGCTGCTCATCCTACGCCCAGGCCAGATCTGAATCTTCTCCTTGTCACCTCCGAGAAGCAGATTTTGGGCCTGGGAAAGCTACCTGCCCAAGCTGGGCAAGCTCTGTTCAAGTCCCACTTCCACTGCTGAATCTCTGAGCCTTGGTTTTCCTATCAGTAAAATGGGTCGATCATCTCCATTCAGCCACCTACATGGTATTACTGGATGCTCATAGATCCAGTGGGTGTAATTTCCTTTAAAAACTGTAAGCTGCCATCCAAGGAAGAGTTAAGGTGGCTGAAGTTGATAAAGTTACATTTAACCAGACTGTGGAAAGAACTGACCAGCCACAGAGCTCGGCGGATGACTCTGTGTGTGTGTGTGTGTGTGTGTGTGTGTGTGCGCGCATACTTTTGTGTTTCAGTTTCAGGATTTGAATGCCGTCCAGTGAGGACGGTGGCATATTAGAACAGGGGTGTCAGGACTAAGACCCTACTTGGCCCACAGTTGCCGAATGCCTGCTGTGCAGTGTCCTCTGGATGGATGCTGAGGCTCAAAAGGTGGACATTGTGTTGAGGAGTTCACATTCTAACAGGGAAGTGCGACCAACCACTGCTTTTCAAAAACAAAATGTTGTATGTTGTACAATAGAAAGGTAGGTATCTGTCAAGTGACAGAATTACTTACCAAGTACCATAAGAAGAGAGAGAAATGAAATATCATTTATTCCAGGCAAGAAAATGCAGAAGAGTTTATGGAAAGTGAGAGAGAGGAAGCTGCGGTGGACTTGTGCTTGGACAGATGAGTAGGGTTAGTGAATGGACAAGGTGAGGAAGGGCATGTGGGTAGCAACTCAGCACTTGTGCTGTCATGGAGCAGGATCTGCACTCTGTATGGAGCAAGGAATGACAAGGGGTGTGACTGAGCATAAGGTGAGCCAGGGCAGGTGGGGGCTGGTGCAGGTGGCAGAAAACAGTCCTCAAGGCGCTAGCCTCACAGGTCCTGCTGAGAAGTGCAATTGGAACTTTTTCTAGTCCAGAAAAATCCGAAGTCTGAAAACCACTAAACTGCATGCTTGCTAAGGTCCACTGGGCTCTCATTCTTTGAAAGCTGTGACAGCCTAGACCAGAAGAATTGATGGTCATGTTTTAAAGGGGCTGGGAACCCTGGAGGTTTCTTAAGCAAATGAGTTGTAAGTTGCATTTCTTTTAGAAGGATTACTAGAGGTGTGTGGGAAGAAAGACAAGAACTGAGAAATCCTAGGGTCACTGCAACTGTCCAGAAAAGACAGAACCTTTTCACATAACGTCCCCAAGCTTACCTGTCTGCCATACTGCTCATCATTAATCCTGCTGGTGCTGCTGAGGACCTGCAGGGAGGCTAAGCCTGCATCCTAGCGAGCCAAAAGCCTCATTTCAGAGATGATCCATGGTGCAAGTTCCTGACTTGAGCTCAGCTTCCAGGATCAGGAGCCATAGTCCATGAAGGTTTGGGTTTATCAGGAAACAGAATGATGGAGGTACATCCATCCAAAGAGATGCGCCTGGCAGTGGATTCAGCTGGGGAGGTGGGCTGAGCCTGGGTTCCCCTTATGATGAGGTGAGGGTGTGAGGAAGGATCTCCCTTGACAGAAATAAGACACTGTTTTGCATGGCAGAAGCCGTTCTGCTGATAATGGTGTGAAGAGGCTTGTGCTGGAGATGGCACAGCACGGATGGGCATCACTGCCCATCTGAATGGACTGATTTGAGAGCCTGTGCTTGCAGGGATTTCAGTCCCTCCTGCTCTGTCTGCCTGCAGGAAGTCTGTTGACCTCATCCCCATAAAATATACTCCCTTTTTTATCCCCAGCCAGCATCTCTCGATAGCTTCCTCCAAAGGAAATTAGGGAACAGGGAGGAATGAAAGTCCTTTTGCTTCCCAGGAATTTTTTTTTTTTTTTTTTTTTTTTTTTTTTTTTTTTTTTTTTTTTTGAGAAGCTGATGAAGTGTTAAGTAACTTATGACTAGACACTTATAAGTGTGCCTCTCTTTGGGTAAATCTAATACGCAAAAGTTCAGATTCTGCATGTGAATTAATCAGGAAGTAATTATTTGCTTTACAAATGGCTTGTGTTTTACAAGAGAATTTGCTATGCAATCCCTTAAAAATAAGCTCCCTAAGGCACACTAAATAGTGTAGTCCCACCCCAGGCCCCAAAGGAGATATTTGCAGTAGTCCCTTAACTTCCTAAAGCTCAGCAGAGCGGTATGATATATTGTTTCACAGTAGAGTCAAAGCTTTCAACTAACTTGCTAGATTAACCTGAACATTTTATTCCCTCCATAAAGTATGATAACTGTTGCCCAGAAAAAAATGAATTTTCCAGGCCCCAAACATGCATTCTCACTAACTGTGTTGTGTACTTACCAAGACCCAACTGTTTAAGTCATTGTATTTGTCATTGTGATTTTATATTTAATTGAATTTATTGAATACCATACAGATACTCCACTTTCATGGATCCCAGACTGGAAATAATAGATCATGCACTACGTTTATGGTTTTGCAAGAAGTCCAAAGGCAGAACTCCAAACAGCATTTTCCAGCTTAACCCTCTGATCCTGCACCAAAAGAATGGCCAGGGGATGCAGATTTATGTGTTTAAAGTTAAAATAAAATATTTAAGGCATCACACCTATCTTATGCATTTTTCACAAGTTCTCTTTTTAATCGACTTTTCTGAGTAACTGACCATCACATTAGATAACAGGGTTGATACTGTACCTTCTATTATTTTAAAAAAAAGATAATTGATGTTTCAGTGAGCCATTCTGGACATGAATGAAAAGACCATTGTGCATTATATGTTTTCTTAAAAATCTGCAATGCCTTCTCATCACACTCAGATAAAATACTATCTCTCTGCTAGCCACAGCTTACAAACTCCTATGTGAACTACAAGACCCATTTTTTTTTCCCTCTGCACCTTCAACCACTCTCCTCTTCTTCAACAGGCTCCAATTCAAGTGCCACAATTTAAGCGTCCTAGCACACACTCAGCCTCATGATGAATTTCCATGGAAACTATGAACTCCACAGCTGGCCCGGCCCCCAGGCATCTTAAGATGAGAGGCTTCCACATCCTCTCTGAAGTGGCTACAGCTCCTCATGCAATGTTTGGTACCAGAAACCACTTCAGTTGTGGTTGCTTTCTTCCAAGGACCTCTTGATCTCCAATTTGGATTCTTCCAGCGTAATACAAGAAGCAGCATTAGTAATGCTCAGTCCCTGGCCTTCTTCTTTATCCTCAAATATGCCAAGCCCTTTCCCACCTTAGGGCCTTGGCCTTTGATGATCTTTCTTTTGGGATTTCTCACTTCCACGTGAAGATCACACACCTTCTTATTTCTCGGTTCTTGGCTCAAATGTCACCTTTACACAAGGTTCTTTTCTTATTACTCACCACGGCACCCTAGTGGATCTCCTTCCTAGTGCTGTTGTCTGAACATATGCTGTATATTGATGTGTGTATTGTCTATTCTTTCCACACTATTCCTAGATACCCATCAGCCCACCCGCAACTACAGTCTTTGTCCCAAGAGGCAGCTCTTCTCTGCCTTGCAGCTTTCTCATTTCTAGGACCTGGAAGGGGATCTGCAGCATAGACGGCATTAGGTAAATCTCTGTCAAATCAATGTTGAAGAAGATATATAGTGCAAACCCTATTATGTCAAGGAGTTGGAGTGATCGGTTTCAGAAAATGATTTATTTTCATCTACACTGGGAAATAATCCCACAGGATGTTAGCCAGGCTGATGGATTCAGTTCAATAATCTATCCACTTCATATTTTCTTTGGTTTGTGAATTCCAACAAACTCACCAAGACAGTCAACTAAAAAGATAATATTTTGAATCTGGAATGTTAAAAGCCTCTGGAATGCACAGTAGTGTCTAGAATGCAAGTGTAGTGGTGTACGAAATGCCTTGAGTCTAGAATTTACAGCTTTGTTTTCCAGGGTTGGGACAACTTATCAAGGAGGAACATTATTGCCTCTTTAGTCATTTTGAATGTTTTGTTTTTCTCTCTCAGAGACTTAGTTTTCCTAAAAGGAAAATAACCCTAGCTCCCTAACATTGAACATCTGCAATGAGCCAGATGTTTAATGTACATGATCTTGAATATTCATACTATGAAGTAGATATAGCCATACCTATTTTATAGGTGCGGAAATTGAGGTAAAGGGATTTGTTTAAATGCAAACAGCTAATAAATGGTAGATATGGGATTAGAACTCTAGTTGTTTTACTCTCAAAGGATGTGCTGTTTCACTAGATTGGGTTGTCTCTGCCAAAATGAAAGACCAGTCTAACATTCTCTAAGAAGCATGAGTAGATGTTTAATCCCAAGAGCCATACTCTTCCATTCAAAGAAAAGTCAAATGTGGTCTTATTGAAACATCTTCCACACCACCGGGATGTAGGAATGACATCCCAGCACCCTGGAGGCCAAGGCCTTCAGAAGAAAGACCCAGCACACAATTCAAGTGCCATAGCACACACTCAGCCTTATGATGAATTTCCATGGAAACCATGAACTCCACAGCTGGCCCAGCCCCCAGGCATCTTAAGATGAGAGGCTTCCACATCCCCTCTGAAGTGGCTACAGTTCCTCATGCAATATCTGGTACCAGAAACCACTTCAGTTGTGGCTGCTTTCTTCCAAGGACCTGTTGATCTCCAATTTGGATTCTTCCAGCATAATACATGAAGCAGCATTAGTAATGCTTACCTAATCAGTGTTCACTCTCTGCCAGGCAGTTAGGCCCATAGGCGAGGCTGTTTGTGTGCCTTGTCTTCCTTAGTCCTGAAACACTTCATAGTAAGCATAAGTACTATTACTAGCTCTACTGCATAGATGAGGAAACCAACACTTAAAGAGGCACACAGAAAATGGCAGAGCCCTCGAAAGACAGGAAACAGCAGAGAACAAACCGGTGCTCTTTTCTACACTTGCTGGGGCCCAGAGCACAGACCAGGGCTGGGAGTGCAGTCCCCAAACCTGGCCACAGGGTCTGAGTCCGTTGCTCATGAGCAGCAGAGGACACAGATGGGACTCTTTCTGGGAATGATACCTGGACCTTTAAAGGCCAGCGTGTCTTTGAAAGGGGCTGTTCAGAGAGGAGGACATCACCGGTGAGTCAGAGAGATGGAAATACCAGAGATGGGCCGGGAGGGAAGGGTCCCAGCAGAATAAGCAGGTGGCACCTTGAGAGGTACCTGGGCAAGTGACAGGAGGCGTTAGAGAGAACGCACGAGGCATTAGAGAGAATGCCCAGGCCCTCAGACCTGGGAGAGACAGCAGGCCAGAGCCCCTCTGCACGTGAACCGGGAGGCCTGCCAGCCTCTAGGTCAGCTTTGTTACAAAGAATCACTGAAGCCACCCCTGTTTCTCTGGCACACTCCATCTGCTTGAGGGGGTTCCATGGGGCCAGGGACAGCATCTTGGCCAGGGCCATCCTGCATTGATTCGGGGGCAGTGTGTGGGAGAGGGCCTGCTGTTTCCTTTCAGGTACTGTTAGTAATAACTTCAGTTCTAATAGATTCCAGCAGTAGTTCTCGACCAGCAAGGATTGTGTCCCCAGGGAACATCTGACAATGTCTGGAGGCATTTGTGGTTGGCACAGCTTAGAGGGACTGGGGCTGCTGGTATCAGGTGGGTAGAAGCCAGGGGTGCTTCTAAACATCCTTCAATGCACAGCACAGCCTCCCACAACAAAGGGTTATCTGGCCTCAAATATCAACAGTGCCCAAGTTGAGAAGCCCTGGATTACAGGCTTCACTGGCAACCCCACTTCCTCAAACAGAGGGCTCCAGGGACAGACCATGGGAGAAACTGGCTCAAAGCTTCGCCAGTGAGCAGAGATGAACAGGAGAAAGCTGGTGAGTTTTTTCTCTCATCAGCAACCTTGGAAATCAAAGCTGCCAGGTATTGTACACACAGACACACATACATGCATACACTCACACGCAGACACATTCAGACACACAATCCAGATGCCAGCCTGGGCTAAACACCATGCAGGCAGTGTCCCCAAATTCTCCCATAGCCCTATAGAACAGGACCTGTTACTCTCTCCAGATATAGGTGAGGCTACATGGAAGCTCAGAGAGGTTAAGTGACTTGCCCAAGGCCACACAGCTGGTATGTGGACTTGGCCATTGTAGGTACTCAATAAGATTTAGGATGAAGTGGGAGCAATTGAAAGAAAGCTGGAGAGAGGGCAGGGAACAGGACATGGGTCCAGACTGCCACTCACTGGCTCGGGGACGGGGAAATAATCTGCTCACATCCCTGGGCTTTTGTTTCTTTACAAGTAAAATAAAGGAGCTAGACGGTCTCATCTTCTATATTCTTTGATTCTTTGAATCTGAATCTGAATCTGAAACTGGAACCTTCTCCTCACACTAGAGATTTTGATTTCCCTGTCTCCTCTCCATCTGTTATACCTATTCTTTCCCCATAGAAGTTTGCCCTCAATTTCAGGAATGAAAATCTCATCTATAATCCAGGTACACAGTAAGAAAATCACACTATTCTGTGATCAGTTTACAATAGTCTATAAGAAAGCAATAATTCATTGTATTTTTTTCACTAGCTGTTGCCAGGAAAGCTAATATATGCTAACAGAAATGGAGGTATGAGACAGATGGCTGAAAATGTAACACACGTATATTTTAAGTATGTAGATTTGAGCCAGAAATAAAATGAGAGATGTGACAGTGCCAGGGCAGAGAGAGAGAGAGAGAGAGAAAGAGAGATGTCTTTTTGGGACAATAAGATAAACTTGCCAAAAATCAAATCAGTTAGTTTCTGTGAGTCATTCATTGATGCAATTATCTACTACATAGATGGCACCATATGTGATGGTGATGGAGAGAGGAGACATCTACACAGGGGGTTGTCAAGAATGCATTCTGATGGCCAAGAAGAACAGAATATTCTTATCACTATTTGCCTGTCTCTGTTTTATGTAAAATTAACGATTGTCACAACCTTTGAGATGGGTCCTATTATTATACCCATTTGCCACATGAAGAAATTGAGTCACCAAAGAGGTTACATGACTTGCCTTAGGTCACTGAGCTGATAAGACTCAAGGATATGTTTTTTACCAAAATAATAGATGCCAGCATCTCTGCTTTTGACCAGGGCATTATTCTGCCTCCACAAGAATAGGAATACTGCTACTATAAAATGTTTCAGTGGATCTGCGTGTCTCTTTCCTCCAAAAGTGATAGAACTGAGGACTAAACGATGCCTTTGGGTGACTGGATCCAGTAGTTTTTCATACTTTCTAAATTGAATAACCTTGAAATGTTACTCAAAGCTCAGTCTCTGACATAAGGAGAAAGGGGCTGGGAGGCTCAGACCTGCCCCCTCCTCACAGAGGCTCAGGATCCAGGCTCCCTAGAACCCAGTGAAGAATCAGTGCTTTAGACCTCTCCGGCCTCCCTACTCCCACTTCACAGGTGGCAAAACTGAGCCCCATGGAGCCTAAAAACTAAAGTAGAAAGGACTCATTCCTGACCATCTATCCTTCAGTA